GTAACTATTTTCACGTCTACACTTCTGGCTTGGTCATGGCTGATGATGTATCAGCCCACATCTGGTGGCTTGGGCTGGTCTACCTTGGGCAATCACAGTGACGGCAACTTCTTCTTCTTCTTTTTTTATTTTTTGTAAATTATGGTTTTCTAGTGAATTACTCTAATGTGATCCGTAAGTAAGACGGGAAAGCATGACATCAATATTAAAGGTTTTTCTGTAGAAAAGTACCTTGTTTTTCTCTGATTTTGTTGAATAATCTACCAAGTAAATGTATATTTTATAATGATGCAGGTACACACAATAACCCAGATTACCCTAAACATACCCAGACTATCCTAGACTTTAACTTGTCTTGAAAGATCTAAAGGGGGGCAATGTGTAGATAAGAAGATGACCTAAACAAGATAAAGGATGATGGAGAGGGTGCTGAAAGGTGACCCTGTATGAAACAACCTGGCAGGTGTAGCCCTGATCTTTTTTTCCTCTCATTCATTTTCATTAGGAAGCTGAAGAACAGTACAACACAATAAGCAACATTGCTGTTTATTAACTCTCCTCTTGCCTCACCCAGTATAGCCGTCCCACTCTAGTCGGTGTCTACCTATTAAAGGGCCATATCGTAGAAAATCCATTCTTTAAAGCTTTTTATCGTGTGATACTGTTATTTACCCAACAACAACAACAACAACAACAACAAAATAAACGTTTTTGGCTGCATTCGAGCATTTTCCTATTTCAGCTGTAAATTTTTAGTTTTACTTTGAAAATCCCCTAAAGCCTCCGTGGAAACTCATTTCGTCATCAAGCCCTGCTCGGATCTGAAACCTGTCTCCCCTGGCCAGCACAGCATATGTGGCTTAAGCCTGATTTATACTTCTCCGTCGGTGAGGAGACACACAACCCCGTTGTGCGTCGGCGTGAGGGCTCTCCGACGGGCTCACAGAGGGTGACCGAGACCTGCACCAAATTTTAAAGATCCGTTGAAAGTAACAGAGATTGCAAGCTTATGACTGGTTGGGACGCCGCTTCCTGTTAATTCGTCACTACCACTGCCATTGCCACCTCAAAAAGTTAAACGATTTTCAGAAGCAGACCCGGAACAGATCGAAGAACTCATCGCAGAAAAATTCCAAAATCATGAACATTTATTCAACCGTGATTGAAGGAGTACAAAATACGGAGCAAACATTGACAGAAGTGACAAGAAACGTGGGTTTAGAGATGGCGACCGCGTGAAGAGGTGGAGGAGAATAAAGAACAAATGTGTCTGTGTTCTAAAGTCTCTGAAATATATAAACACATTAGTAAATATCAGGCTTTAGGTGACTTGTGACGACGGTTATTGTGCCAACCAATCTCGCCATCACTGATGATGAAAAGGAGGAAAGATGACATTGAGGCAGATCGACAAATATAAAATATCCTAATATTCTAGATTTGATCAGAAACAGTGCCTGTTATTCGATTACTTTTCAAAAACATGAATCTGCTTTTATAAAAATATATAATTGTGAAATATTCTGTATGAATCTACAGTCAAATAATGTCCCAACATTTAGATTATTCAAAAGTGTCTTATAATTATCTATATCATTAAAAATAATGTTTATTTAACTTGTTCATGTTTTTATTTGGGATTTATTTCACTAGAACAGGGTCTGCGTTCATATTTGATCACTTCGTTTCTCTGATTTTCTGCATGAGAATAAATATTTTTGAAAATTGTAACAACAGAAACACACTTTAGTTATTTACCACAGTAACACCCTGGGGTTGACATTTTGAATTTTAAACTACATCGAGTGTCCTTATAAAGGGTTAAAGCATCTGTGTCTATGATAAAATGTCCTATGACATATCGATGATTGGGGTTTTAGAGACCCTCTCAACATTACGCCACATTTTCATCTAATCAGGTTTAAGGCCCTGGTGAACAAACGTCTACCCAGGCTTTCGTTGCTGAGGAGGACATGACACTTTGGGTCAATATAAATATATGAAAACTCTGTTTGGGTGCATAACCGCTGGACACGGGGTGGACACTCAGTCCTGATCCCCAGGGGACACCTTAGGCCTTACAAGCAGACCTTGTTCTGAAGGAGACTGTGTCTCAGTATCATAAATTAACATCAATTATTGAGGCTAATAGAAGATTCCCCACTAACATTGTTCATCGTCGTAATACCTTGTTATAATCTTGTTATAAAGCAATTCCCTCTAACAAGAGAACGCTATTGTTCCATACACCAATGTTTGAGTTTTCAGCCTTAAATGTCACTAACATGCACCTTAAAATTGCACTATAATGTTTTAGCTGAGTCCTGTAAAGAGGAAATCCTTTAATCTCAGTGGTAGGATAAGGTGTCGCTCGATATCGTTCCATGGAGGGTTCCTTCTGTCCTCTAACTATCAGGATCGCCGCGCTCCTTAATGTAATGCGGAGAATCATCCCCCTCACAATGACTTTGTGTGACTTAAGTAATGTTTATTTATATAGGTTTTCTAGAAAGAATCACAAAGTACTTAACAAACAAATAAATATGGAGGAACATGAGAACTCATAAAACCAGTACAAGTACACAACTACATAACATAGGAGCATAGAACAAGGTTCCCCAAAAGTCTCCACTGAGGTTAAAGAGTGGAAGGCCAGAAGTAAAGCGTGTTACTGTGTGGGGGCATGATCACCTCTGGTCCTGACCAACCAACCAGGGAATGGGACGGGTTGTAGATAGTCATTGGGACCAGAATCTTAAACTGGATCCAGAAGTAAACTGGGAGCCAATGAATGCTGCTAAAAAGGAGAAGATGTGAGCCCTCCAACATGATAAAAGTCTCATTTTCTTGTTCTGTAGGATCCACATGTGTTTCTATAAACCAGGTGAGAAGACTGATTGTTTAAAGCAGAAACTGTTTAATTGAATTCCTGCTGAGCTCATTTGTGGACAGAGCAGAGAACAGACAGAGGCAGCTGTGGGGTGATGACGCCGAAGGCCAGCTGTCCGAGGGGTTGGTCTGCAGGCGTGTGCAGGAATCCAAACGAGTCACAGCTGACTCTGACTTTGTTACTGTACTCCAGCATCAACACACTGATACACAAGCATGGCCACGAGCAAACACGACTCACAAAACCAGGTGGGGGGTGGGGGTGTCCTCAGGACAAGTAGCCTGGATTCTTATGTTTGGTTTTTACAGCTGAATTTATTAAGATCAGGTTGTGACAGATGCATCCTCTTCATTCACACATGCATCTCTCCGTGGCATCATGGATCACAGAAAGCATGAGTGTAAGACCAGAGGATGTGGTGATGGCAGTGGTCACCACACATTAGATGGGCGTCTTTTCCAAGAAAGCACAAAGAGTCAGGGTTCCTGACCTGACCCGTTTTCACTTGCATGTGCGCGTGTGTGTGTGCGTGTGTGTGTGTGAGTGTGTGTGTGCATGCGTGTATGTGTGTTCGCGCGCGTGCGTGTGTGTGTGTGTGCATGCGTGCGCGTGCGCATGCTTGTGTGTGTGTGTGTGTGTGCTCCACAGGCTTGTGTCCTGACAGGTGCTGGATGTGTTGGTGTCTGATGATGAATAGATTCTTTGTTACCCTCAGAGAGAGGGCCGAGTGGGGTTGGTGTGTGACGGGGTGTGTTGCTTGTTTATTCCAGGGTCTATGTTACATGTATAACTTTACATTCGTTGCCAGTGTGAGCTTGATGTTCTGTAGAGTAGCAATCTGTCACTGCCAGATGTGTCCAGAGGTGTGTGAAGATAATGACTGCAGCAGCTATGCTAAGCTCGGACTCTTTTGGGAACCTTCCATGTGCATTAAAAAGGTTTTAAAGCGACACGAAGCAGTTTGACCACTTTAACCGCTTCCTGTGGGGTTCAGTGATTGCGTTGGATGAAACTTTGCCAGCATCACATGGGACAGCACTCTGCTGCCCTCTGCTGACCAGAAACAGTTTAGTGGAGCGGGTAGGTGCCCTAGGGGGCGCTCTTTACCTGCTTAATGGCTGTTAGCTACCGGTACACAAAATAGCTAGTAAAAAGGCTAGCAGTTGGCTTTTTCAGTTCGCCCACCATCAATAAAAAAAACACACGACCAAGAAAAAAAGAAGTTTGCTTTTTTTTATTAGCATCATGACGGAGCCTGGAAGTAAAAGTCAGAGAATCACGTCTTTGGAGGTGAAGCAAAGAGCTAAAGTGAACATCAGCAGCCTACAATCATTTAAGAAACCTAATTTCTTATTAAGGTTGAGAGGACTTATTTTGTGAGACTTGGTTCATGTTAGCGCTAGCTACAGCAGAGCTGTATATGACAGTTGTAACTCCATTTTCAACCAACAGAACGGAGAAGCTGGAAACTGTTTAGTGTTACTTTAAAGAGCAGTTCAAGCGTGCCTCAGAGTCCTTCTCCACCCACGTATCAATTTTAAAAACTGCAACATTAGTAGGCGTTGCCTGGCGGACCGAGAGGGCGGAGCCGTGGCAGTGACAAAGACGATGGCTAACTAGACGATGCTAGCTCCCTTCACTCTGAGCAGTCATTAGAAGTGGAGGAGGTTTCTCCCCCTCCTTACCCAAACACTCGAGAAGAGAGGGACCAAGTCTATTTGGAGGAGACAAGCGGACCTGAGCCTTATTGTTTTGAGCTTGTGAGTTACCTGAAACTAGCGGAACTGACCCAACAGAACCAGCTCTGAATGGTAAGTAGCCGCTAGCCATAGCATTAGATTAGCTGCAGGGTTTGGCTCCACGGCCCTAGAGGGCTAGTATTCTGCATGTTTTAGAGGTTTATCTGCTTCAACACACCTGGTTTTAAACAGCAACAAATAGCTGAGCTGCTTAACAGCTAATCTAACCTGTTAAAGCAGGAAAATCCACTGAAACGTGCTGGATAGCAGCTCTCCAGGAGCCCTGGGCTCATGTTACAGTTTGCTGCAGAGAAAGTTATGAAACTACCCCATAAGAAAATTATTCTGTAATGTGTTCAGCCCAATAAAACTGCCCTGATTTCATTATTTATTTACTGATACCAGCTGCTCTCTTGGTCGTAGGTGATCCTCTGGTGTCTGCAGGTGGTCTCCTCTGGTGGTGTAGTCAGGATCAGGAGCTTTCAGAAGAATGTGCCTTTCAATGACTCTTTCTTCCTCTAAACAGTTATTTGTTATATTAATTAAATAAATCTCAATTTACATATTTCCTGTTTTTGTTCATGTCCATAAATACTTAAACATGCTTGAAATTAAAACGAGCTTTTAACAGTGAGGTGCTAGTTTAATTCATCACAATAGAGCTAGTTAAACATGCAACAATGTGATAATTCAATTAATGTAATTTATAAATATCCATTAAAATATCAAAACTGGAATCAAAATGAGACATTTGGCTGCACAAAAAACTTGTCAAACACAATATTTATTATAATAATTGTAGGCAGACAGGAGACAGAGCTGATGGAGGTTCTCAGTCATCGAAGGATGGCTGAAGGCTTTCCGGGAACAGGAGATGTGGTGTTGTCTCTTCTCTCTCTATTCTGCCAGATGAGCTGATAGGTTACAGGTGTGTGAGGACATCCTCATGCTGTCATAACCAGATGACAGGAGTTATCAGGTGATCAAACAGGCTAATGATGAGATGCAGAAAGAAAACAAATCATGCAGAAAGAAAACAAATCCAGGACAGTGTACAATAATAACAATAATAATATGTGGTGTTGCTCACCTTATGTGCTCTTATAGAGTATTAACATGTGCCTGCCTCATGGTGTAAAGTCCATATTTTGCTGAGTGTCCTGCAATAATGCAGGTTATTAGTTAATTTACTTTTAATAGCAAAAAACAAAATATTTAATGTAAAAGTTATTTACCAGGTGAATCAGCTCACACGTCACCAGGTGTCACAGGACCAGAATCAGTAGTCTCCTTCATGATGTCATGATCTAATCTAGCTCCAAGCTCGCAGCAGCAACACACGTGTAGCAATAAGCTATGAAACGAAAACATAGTTAATGTTAAAACTCAAAGGCTGTAATAAAGATTACATGATGATTAAAAACAACTCACCTTTACTACACAGTCTGACAGCAGATTACTTGGGTTCATTTAGCCTGAAAAAAAAACTGTACACATAACATCACAGTAGCTGGTAGCTTCCAGAGATGATGAGAAACATGTGGAAAGCAGAGCTAGGATGGAGCTACAGGTTTTTCTGTTAGATCAGGAGGCCCCGAGGTAAAATGGGATGTTGATGTGAGTCTGGGAAGATACTCCTCTCCAGTGGTGAGCAGCCAGGCTGAGACGTAGGAAAAAAACAGAAAACAGAGTACAATATTATTATTTAGAATGTTTTTACCTGGATCAGTTCATAGAGCTTGTCCTGTCATTCAGATGGACGCTGCTCAGAAGCTCTCCACCACACCTGGGTTTGTTCAGGAGTGTAGAAGCTGCTCTGGGTGGAATTCCCATCATGGTCCCAGCGTCAGGCACACAGCTGCTGGGAGGCTATGTGAAATATATAGAAACAGCAAATATAATTATAGTTGTTTTTAAGAGCAGCAACACACGTTTAACAATAAGCTAAAATAATTACATGTTAAAACTAGAAGGTAAAGAAAGAGAGATGGTGAAATAATTCACCTGCAAGGCTCTAGCCTGGACCGGTGCAGGCAGGAGGACTAAATCCGTCTTGGGCAGATTTAGCTTGAAAAATATAATAACATCAGCTTGTTGTGGGAGTTTAGTAACTTAGATCGTGTACAAAACAAACTGTCTAATATATGTGCTTTATAACACGGCTGGTGGGTGATCTGACTGCTCTCAGAGATAACTCAGTGTCCAGAATCAGACATGTTCTAATGATAACCGGACTCAGCACCAGTTCAGAACACCTGGTAATTACTGGAACGGCTTGGACTAATTTGTGAAATGCTCTTCAAACCAGCTTAACCGGTTCAAGCTCCACCAAGTAGGTGAAAGAGTCTGATGTAAAAAATACTAAACTACAAAATCTAACAGCCAAGCTACTCGAACTAAATAATTTTAATATTAAAAGTTTTGCTGGGACTCTGACACGATGCTAATGCTAACTATAGCACAACTCACTTACGAGCCCCGACTGCTACAAGGCTGGTTGAGACCGCGGTGCTTTTATAACCTACAGCCACAGAGCTGCTACGTAGTACTTTTCTGAAATACGTAGCATTGTTCTTGTTAGCCATTGGCTAAAATCGACTCAAAATAAACGTGTTCTATACTTTTGAGCTGAAGATGGCGCTAGACTGGCGTTTGTAAACAGAATTTAGAGTTTTCAAAGAAAATGCATCAAAATGCAAAAATAATAACTACACATGTCTACAACACTGTTAGACACTCATTTATACTAGTTATCAGCTAAAATAAGTTGATTTTGATTTGACTTGCTCTTTAACACTAATAGGCGTGCTTCCACTGGGACTGTGTCCCGGGCCAGCATGCGTGTCTCCACTTCACTGGGTTGGTCAAACTGGCAGTTTTCCAGGCCATTTACAGGAACTTTCAGAGTACCTGATCATGGCACGATGAGCAGCAAAGCAGAACTTTTGCTAATTGGTTGTAATTCAGTGGGAAATGACTTTATTTACGCATTTTGGCACTGATCAGTGACATCGCTCACTGCTGAAGCTGTTGCAATGTGCTGATGTCTGTGCAAAGTCCTGAAAGGACTGAATTTGTATGAGCACACAACAGCTGAGAGGACTGAGCCGTCATATCTCCTGGTCAGTCTCCCCCTCCCAGAACTGATCCTGAAGTTCTGACAATGGAAACACTCCTAATGAAATGGCGTTACCCGTTATCACATCGACCCATTCCTTTTTTAATGTACATTAATGTTTTTTTTTTTCCTTCTATTTTTGACAGTCCTTTGTTCCCTGGCTCTGAACAGTTTCAAAACTCGCTAACACCATCACCTGTATAAATAATGGAACAACCTTCCGCACCATCACCGTAGGTTTCTGAAGAGCTGAACTGAAACCAGAGGACGGTTCCCACCACTGCTATCTTGGCCGTGCTATGATTCTTGTCAAGCCTGGAAAATCCAAAAATGGAGCTGAGAGCGAGGCTGTGGGGATTGACAAGCAACCTTTGAGGCAATGTGGCTACAAGCTAACTGAGGTTGCCAAAGCCAACAGAGGTTGGTGGGCGCTTTAGCCAGAAAACTGCAGCAGAGTGACTCTGCTGAGGATAGCATGAGGCTGAAGCTGAGGCCTTTCCTGGAGCAAGAAGGCAGGAAAGCTGCTAGTGCTGGCACTGACTGCTCGTTTGCTACCTGCCAATAAAAAGGACACGCCCCTAATAAATCATCATTTTAAGCTTTAAAGAGCAAGTCACCCTCCAAATCAACATTTGTAGCAGAGGAACTGTATAATTGTAATAGTGCTGTAAACGTGTTAATCAGCAAACTATTTTGAATTTTAGTGCATCTTGCTTAAAATTTCAGCCTAAAATCATCATCATTGCAGCCTCTTGCACATTGAATGTAGCCCGGCCTGCCAGTCTGCTCCTCTGTTTAATTCTGCGCAGAGAAAGGGTTTGGGAACCCTCATATTCAAATAACCCCACCCCCTTAGAATTGTAACTGAGCCATTCAGCGCTGAGTAGCGTACGTCACACACCAAAAGTCAGAGTTTGTCGAAAATGTCGACTGAAGCAGAGTTCGCTGCAGCTCTTTCCTCTCTTCTAAATGACTTGAATGTCTTTAAAACAACAACAAGTAGAAGTGCTAAAAGCATTTCTTCTAAATAAAAAAAGATATTTGTGCCGTTGCCAGATGCCTTTTCTTACTACAGCTAAAAAACTACAGCGTCGCGCAGTACAGTTGGCATTGCCGTCTTTTTTCTGATTGGTTATTTTTGAGCTGCCTAGTCCCGCCCCTCAAGTGCCTCTCTTCCTGTGAGTTACCAGAGTCTTTCTCTGTGCAGAATTAAACAGAGGACGAATCTGGCAGGCCAGGCTACATTGAATTGCCTCTGTGTATGAAATGTGTTATATAAATAAAGCTGCATTGCCTTGCCTCTTCAGCTTAAAACTCTGCACTGTTTGAATCAGCCATTTTCTGTTGGCAAAGCGGTACCCAGTAGCATTGCTAGTACCTTATTGCGCTGGTCTGCAGCTGAGGCTCGGCTACGCCTGGCTAACATGCATTCTGCACATTCAGACTGAACACTGAGCAAGTCCACATGACATGAGAGGAAGTTGAACACTTGCATTGAAAAAATGACTCAGCAACAAGGTATTTCTGGCCTGTGAGTAGGCAAAACAATATTTGCGTGTGCAAGCAGCTGTGTACCACAATGACCAGTGCATGACTCTCTCTTCTGGTCCGCCTGGGACAAAACTGTCTTTAAGTCTATTTGTTCTACATCATGGGACAAGTCCCCACCACACAACCTAGAACTCAAAGCAGAAGGTGTAAAGCATCAGCAGTAACCCAACAAACATTGGTCCGACGCCGACTTGGTGTCCACATCCAAAAATGGTTGCGGTAGGACGGCCCAAATGTGTAAAAAAAAAAAAAAAAAAAACAGAACACGTCTTAAAAATCCATTCAGATACATTTGTACATGCCTATAGTTATATGTATAATTGTTGTTTTGACAAGTAGTTACATGTAGTTCAACATAGCATCCCAGCAAACATTGGTCCGGCGGCGATGTGGCGTCCACGTCAAAAATGGTCGTCTTAGGACGGTTCAAATGAAAAAAAAAAATTAACAAAACATTTCCTAAAAATCCACTCAGATTTGTAGTTACATGTATAATTGTTACGTGTACCATAATTCATGTCCAGAAAAGACGTCAGTTCAACTTCTCATTTTGGAACTATTTTTCAACCATGACGGGACGTGTCGGCCCGACGTCTTTTCAACGTTGATCAAACGTCCGAATGTTTGCTGGGAAGGGAGCCAGCCAGGTGATGTACCGGTCTGACATACATCAATGCTGGACTTAACTGTGGCTCCCCGATCCCACAACTTAACAATGTGACAGAGCAGGGTTTGCTCTTCAGAGACCGAAGAGAAAACCATGACACCAAGGAAACAGACCAGATGGATTCAATAAAAGTGTGATAAAATACTGTATGATCTTCATAATCTTTTCATTATGGAAACCATAATGCCTTCTTAAACATGAATATCCCCCTTTTTTAATACATCGCTTTGCTTTGAATTTAAAATTTTAGTTAATAAACATTCCAAGACATCCAGAGGGTTCTAGCACCATCAGATCATTGATGGTAGCGGCCTCCTGTGTGATTTTCTAAACTTGATTCACCCGTTTGGATAAGGTGCCATTTATTCTAAGCCTTTGAATCTTGATTGTCAGGAAGTCCAGAGTACAGCCCACACAAATCTACTCGGCTGGGACTGCTCCAGGAGCATTGATTAGGATCTGAGGACGAATTGTATTCAGGGCTATATATTTATTATAAATATATAGCCTTATATATAATATATATCCCTTTCTACAGATAGAATAATCACAAAGGGCTTTGCACAGATAAACGAAACAAAAAGATCACAAAACAAATGAAAGATAATTAAAAACAGAAAACTCAAAAGAGTAAAAGCAGTTCTAAATAAAAGGATCTTCAGCTGTTTTTAAAGGTGTCCAGTCTAACATGAAGTGTTTGGTAGTGAACAGGGTCGCTGTGGATTCCTAAGCACATTTCAATGTATCATATGAACAGTGTTCAGCTTGCTTCAGAATCTGACTTCACTAGTTTCACAAATGCCTTCGTTACAAGAGGTCACAGCAAATGGCAAGGAGGGTTAAGTGTCTTGCCCAAGGACACAACGACAGCAACAAATTGAGCAGGCTCAAACCTGCAACCTTCCGATTTACGGTGCGAGCACCTAACTCCTGTACCACCGTCACCCCAGGAGACTATTTTTGTGTTCAGCCTGTATGAAAACCTCAGAGTGACAGATTAGAATAAAAATGATCATTAAAAATGTTTTTTCAATGTTCTACACCTTTAAAAAATAAAATGAAATATCAGACTCAGATTCTAGTGTCATGTAGAGTGGTGTATTGGAGCATTTTAACGTTCAGATTTGTATGAAGCCTGTATTTGAGTAGTACAATTTATGAAGTTCTCAATACAATAACTTTTGCAATAAAACAATTCGGGATTTTTTTTTATCACAAGGACTTTTACCATGACAATGTTGGTCCTTGTCTTTAAAGTTAGGACACCCCTGCTGTAAACAACCCATAAAGAGTAAATATGAGACCTTCATCAAGAGTGATTCCAGGTCCCTGAATGAAAACTTGATCAATAAATATTTACTCTTGCAGATAGAAAAAATGTGCAGATTTTTTTCCCCTCATTGAACTCAAAGACTCAATCCAGCACCTTCATACAGATGTGCGGTGATTTTTCTCTTTTTGACACCCCGTTGTAAAAATAGTTTTCATTATTCATCACAAGCATTCTAGGGCTATTAAATGGAATGAAAGTTCTGATGCGTGTTCCTCATTAGAACCCACTAATATTTACATGACTGATGAAACCTCTGTGCCTCTGCAAGGTCCGTGCATGCACCCATGCAACTCATCAGACCACAAACCGCCTGAACATCGCTTTGGTCTGGGCTCACAGATATTTTTCATTTCTACAATCTTTGTTCTCGTGAGAGCTCACAAACCACAAGAACCCCCACAGCACAGCAGGGCCTGTTGCTGGGGTCCAGAAAAGCCTTGTGTCCCCATGACATTTAGGTTGTAAATTTCATACATGCATCATCATGATGGACATCATTCTTCTAGGAGCAGAATGAGCTTTCAGTCATGCAAACTTGTGAGGGGAAGTTACAAACAAACTTGTTTTCCATTTATCTCTATCGGAAACACAAAAAGGAAGTGAGAATTCTAAGTAAAGAAAAGTCATTTAGAACCAAAACAATCTCACCTTCTTTTTTCTACAGAATTTCAAATACAAACATCTACGTCACAAGCTGTGTGTGTGCAGCTTTTGTTGACTTAAAAAAGTGTCAGGATTCAAATGGATGCCAGATGTTTGCTCTGAGTGTTGCTTGTGTTGTTTTTTTCCATTGACTCTTAAAATCTGTAACAAGAAGCTTAATTTAAGGATGTCCAATATTATCGGTCTATTATTATCGGCCGATATCGGCATTAAAATGTAGTATCAGAAAATATCTGTATCGGTATTTACTCTTCATGACACTACTTTTACATTCCATATACATCAAACTCTTTAGCTACTTCTCCTCTCTCGCAAAATGTGACAGATCTAGTTTTTGAGATATTTAAGTACATATTTGCTCTGTGTAGCGAACATCAGCCCTTCTCACAGTAGCTATGTGTAGCTAGCCAGCTAGCAAACAACTAAAACAAACACAACAATCTTCACCCAAGGCTTGCTTTTCTTATCTGAAGATCTTCATAAGTGCTTTATCATCATAACTACAACATACAGAAGTAGAAAGAATACATTACTATTACACACATCTTAGTGTCACGCTTAGCAATTAGCATGTGTGTACACTGCTCACATTTGATAAACGAAGTAACTTTAACATACGTCCAAACATTCCCTAAACTAGGGGTTGTATCACCTAGTCAACTTCACTGCTCTGTAGTGACTTTTTATGCCTTTCATCGACTAGTCGCTGTCACGTGATAATGACCGACAAGATGCAGTCCTTGGAAAAGACAGCAGGTGACAAGCCCCTGCGCGTTGGGAGGCGATGCACTGTGCCAGAGCGTCGGTATCTGACGCCCGTCGTAAAACGGACATTTGACCGAATTGCGACTTTTACCCTCTTGCAATTTAACCTTCCCCTCACCCCCATCCTAACCTTAACAGCTTGCGCATGCAAAGCTCTGATAGTTGACGTGCTCCAGACATCTGCGTCCTGACTACGGCCATAGTAACATTATCAAATTAGGTGTTGCCACCTCAAAAACAAATTTAACACGCGATCATTGATGTCGGCTCATTTCCTTTTATGTTTTCTGCCTCAATGTAAACAACGGGA